ATGAATGAAAGAATGGATGGATGGATAAATAAAAGAATCGATGGGATTGATAAAATGAATAGGAATGGAAAAGAATAGAACAAAATCGTGAGACTAAATAAACCATTTCCAGATACTTACCTTTTTACGGTACTCGGCAATGGCGGCCATATTTGGCTTCAATTGGTTCAACTTTTCCTCAAGGACAGTTATTTCGTACTTTAAAACAATGAGAATTACACATTAATTTATCTTCAAGAATCTCATCTCTAGTACAAAATGAACCGCCGTTTACACGAAGCCGGGGCGTAAAACACAGGATAACGCCGACAATAGAAAGGACGCTATTCAGAACGTTCTAAACTGCGAACTGTCCTTTTATTTCCTTTGGTTAATATTTGGCAACTCGAAGTCTAACTTGTGCGCGCAATCGCGCGATGGTGTGCGCAAAAATCGATAATAATCAAATGGATGATAAGTGTAATAGGAGTAGAGTGATTGTTATCTTTTGTTACCATGATAGCTTGCTTGTCGATGTTTGTCAGTTCTTCATTCGTTAGGGTTGGTAGCGATTCGTCTTGTTGATTGTCAGACAGACCAACAGACTGCAATTCTAACTTGCTTAACTGCAAAGTCAAACCATAACATATTAAATAAAATGGAATGGATTTTACGTCGATCAATCATGAAGAGATTGGTTAGTCTCCCGAGCCAGACGTTCATGTCTAAAACATTGGACAAAAGATCGAGTTGGAAATAAGGATTTAATTTTAGAGAGAAGAAAACCTGGCAACCGGGAGAAAACCCTCGAAAAACAGAATAGAACCAACCCAGAACCAACCCTCCAGGGGGGAGGGGTGGGACACGCCTTCAGCAGCGTACCTCCCCCGTAGCTTTCCCTCGAGCTAGAATATGAAAAAGTACCAACCTTCTAGCAAGAACGGGGACGCAAAGGACGACGGTGCGCATAAACGTCTCACGCCATCGTTTTGTTTCCTCCCTCCGTAAAAATCAACATGTGAGTTGAGCGTTGTGTGCATAGAATATTGAATGAAGTGGCAGTGCGTGTGAGTGAAAAGTGTTCGCAATTAGTGCGAAATCACTAGAACGACTAGAAACTAAGTAAAGTGATTTATTTTATTTTTTGGCGTCCGCATACTCGATGCTTAAGGTCCCTAGTGTGAACAACGCATACCTCTTTTTGCCAATGTTTGACTTTTTGTTGGTTCTCCTTGAAGATCGCTTCAAACTTCTCGACTTCGTGTTTCAAGTCGACCTCTTTGCTGCGCAGTTCATTTTCCTCCGCTTCGACTTCTGCAAACTCTTTCTTGGTCTTCTCCAAGACCTCCTCCATCTCAGTCATCCGTTTCTATAGCAACAAGAACATGTAAATAATGGCTAGCGTCACGTGATCTGGGTAGCTGTAGCTATTACCTGTGCTTGTTCGTAGTCTTCCAGAACCTTGGTGGCTTTTTCTTCCAGCGTCTTGAACTCAACCTGCAATAAATCGTACGATTAATGTTACAACAAGTCTCGAGTCAGTCCTGTATATCGCGTACGACATGCGAGTCCTAAGCTTATTATACCTCTAGTTTTTTGATGTTTTCATCGTTGTCCTGTATTTCTTTTTCTAGCGACGACACTTTGTCCTCTGCTTTCTTGATGTTCCTATGATCAAACAAGGTGTAGTTTTCTTTTTAAACTACTGTTTTCTAAGAGGCAAGAGGTTATAAACCTACGAGGGCATTTATCTAGTACGGTCTGGTTTCTCAGCAAGGCTGTATGGGCGTGCGCTTCACCACCTTTCTCGATCGTCGATTTTACTTTAACGTCAAAGGTACATGGTTTGGAAAAAAGGATCGAACTATGGATCTATTGCTTTACTGGCAGCGCACTTATAAACTTAGCCACATGCATTAATCCCTTCAGTTCTCAACTACCAACAAAAAAAAGCGAGTTTAACATTTTTAATTTAGCGTGTAAGTGTTTCAAAAAATTTCTTCAGTCTACGAGTGAGTTGCTAGTATGTATTGCTGGTGAATTGCTGGTATGGGTGTGGTCGCAGCAAAAGGCGCAATATTCTCCTTACCTCTGTGATGTCTTGATAGCTACACTCGCTTTGGTGATCTGGCCTTGAATTTCATCAATAGCTTTGACGGCTGTGTCAAGACGAGTCTGCGAGGACACAAAAAAAGTGACTGGTCAGGTATGAAATAGTGAGAATATAAGGAGAAATAACAAGAATAAGACAATGTTTGATACCTGTTGGCCTTTTAGTTTGGCACCTCCAATGTCCATGATCTTCTTGTGCAAGCTACGAATATCAAAACCGTCTATCAGTATCAGTAACACATATAGCCCACTCTACTAACAGAAAGTGGGCGTTACAGACCCACTAAATATACTGGTACTAGAACTAGTAGCTAACTATCACCTTCAATGCCTCTCTTCCCTGTACCTCAACATCTAGTTACATGAACAGTGTGTGGGGGAGGGGGGGGGGGGAACCTTCATATTTTGTCAATACCCTGAAACCATGTCTGGACTGATCAAAGTAAGAGCACGGCTTACTGGCAGATGAAAATGGAATTTACTTGGTTAAGTTTTGCAGAGGTAGGAACTGAGGACTGGAGATAGCTAACAAACTCTACTCACATGTGATGCTGAATCAGGGAATCAAACCTGAGACCCCAGGGGTGAGAGGTGAGTACACTACTACACTACCCCACCCATGATTGGAATGTCAGCCCCTAGGATAACTTACCTCTGTACTTCACTCTCAATCTTTGAGGCTGCTGTATTTGCTTTGTTCCACTCTGTGTAATAATAAAGAGCTTTAGTGTTCTTTTTAATAAAAAGTTCCTCCAACAACTCTCATAGTTGGCATCACGATAGCAGTTCCCTGAGTCATTTTGAAAGGTAGTCCTGCCTTTGCATCGAAGTGGGACGAATGGTGAGCTTGCAATGGGTTATTAATAATTTTGGTCTTAGGTGCGGTCACGTATTTGAGGATGGCATTTAATCAGGAGTGGCACATAAGCAAGTAAATACAGTATTTCTGATATTAAAACAAAACAAATGAAAACATTCCCTATTTCTTACCCTTCTGGAATTTCTCTACAGTCGACTCTAGCTCTTTCAGCTTATCCTCATCTGGTGTGGTTCTAGCTACTTCTTTCTTCAGGTTCACTATCTGTTCATTCAGTGTCTTTTCCTGCTGGTTTAGAGCCTGAACTTCCATCTTGTTCTTCTCCAGCTGGTGTTCCATTGATAAGACTTTCTTCTTGAGTTCGTCAACTTTTTCCTCCAACTTCTTCTTGGACTCACGATACTCCTATTAGATAAAGGAGGTGAAAATGTGACCTTGGAGCATTATCATACCAATTGCAATCTATTTTAGCACATTTCAGACTGGCTAATGCATTAGTCAATTGAAGACCACTCCCCCCCCTCCCTTTCCCGTGAGACCCCTGGGACAGGGCAGATAATTTAACATTCATGTAGTGTTAATTTTTGCACTTTCCTCCTGGTTTCCACAGGGAAAGATTTGCTTTTAAAATTATTCAAGTTGTTGCTGTTAAGATTGTTAAAATGTTCAACTATGCATTAAAATCCACATATGCCCATACAGTATTGCTATAAATGCATGTTAAATCCCTGGTCTCAAGGCATTAATTCCTTGCCCAGTTCTGGAGTCAGGGGCTTTAATTGACTAGTGCATAATCCAACTGTATTTACTCACACAACTGGGCAACACACTTCTTGTCACTCTTCTCCCGTTCCACCTTCTTTTCAGTATTTACCTCAGTTGCCTTTTCATTCACTTCCAACTTCTTTTCCATTTCTGCAAGTTGTTGTGGGCTCACGTCAGAGACAAAAGAAGAGCACATTCTTCCTTTAGCAACCCTTGTTCCACCTCCACTCATTGTACCTGCAATGTGTAGTTAACCAGACATGGAAAATAAATAACAATTTTGTATTAGTAAGAACTGTAAGACAACAGTTGTGTTGTATTGTGCCTTGAGTATATGGTGCAAGCATCAACATTCTGATGGACTGAAAAGTAAATTTGCCATCTTGTACCATGAATTAACACCCATGAGTGTTGCATTGACAGCCAAAAACTTACTGCACATTTCCTACTCTTACGAAACCTGCACTATGCAACTTATTCTTAAACCTCTCATTTTAGTGTTGGTCCATTTGTGTTTCATACCTGACTGATCAATAAGTTGACCTTGCAAAGTAACGACTCTCCATCTCTTGTTACCCTAAACAAACAAGAGAAATAAAAGGACTTAGTTCGGTGTTCTATATGCCATAAAAAGAAGCACGGGTGGTGTAGCGGTGTGAGTGCTCGCCTCTCATTAATGCGACCTGAGTTTGAGTCCCGCCAGGTTCAATGTTGTATATGAGTAGAGTTGTTTGTTGGTTCTCTCCTGTGTTTCGAGGGTTTTCTGGGTTCTTCGGTTTTCCTCCCTCCGCAAAAATCAACTGCTAAATTCCAATTCGATCATGGAATGAGGGCTACAGGTTTGTTAGCCACTGGCTATTAAGTGCTACGCTTGTGAAAAAAGGACATTTTTAAAAACAGACTGGGTGTAAAGTTTTCCCAATTTAGAACCCTTGTTATCAATCAAGAATAAGATTCTTTGTTTGAGTTGTATCCATATTCCTTTGTCTTCTCATGCACAACTATTACACAAAGAAATGATACTCTAGGGAATGACACGTGGAATGAAGAAGGATCTCAAGCTAAAGAGGTCCTTATCAGAATAATTTCACTAAGTTACGTTGAAGTATAGTACCTGGAAAGCAATGCGGGTTGCCTTTTCTAGATCACTTGCCACTAGAGTGTTCTTCAGGGCAAAGAAGAAGGCTGTTGACACCTTTTGGTCTTTGACACGTACCAAGTCAAATAGGCGAGGCACACTCTCTGGACTAAAAGGATAGAAAAAAAAGTAAAAAGTGTATTTTAGACATTTCAGGGATTTTAACAGCATTCCTTCAAATAAAGGGATAAAAAGACTAAGTAAGTCTGGATAGAAAACTTCAAACCTACGTTGATATTTTAGATGTTGCATCTTTTCTCCACACTTCAACCTAATTAAAAAAAAAATTAGTTAGGTTAAGATAAGTAGATTTTGTTCTCCTTTGAATACTTTTTTCTTTATTCCTCTTACTTTCTTCTATTCTCTTCCATCCACTCATCCTTTCTCTTTCCCATTTCCATCTTTTGCTTTCTCTCTCCCTTTTTTTCTGAATCTTCCCTCCTTTGATCTGTATAACRATTCTTCCATCCATCACTCTTTTTGACCCTTGTTTTTATTTTTCTCTTACAGATGTTTCTGTGATTAAAAATTAGCCCTAAATGCATTCTGATACTTACCTTGTCCAGCCCAATAAAGGTAGCAGCACCAATATTGTTTTTTTTCAAGTACTGCACACAGGCCTGTGCTGTTTCCATGGTATCACATACAATATGATCCAGTGCACCACATGCCGTGCTGATTGCTACATCATACTTGTCATCTATTGCACCAAGATCTCCCTACAATGATTACACAAGATAAGGGACCAGCCATTATTTAAGTTGGAAGGGGGGAGGGGGTGGAGGAAAAAATGGGGGGCCCTCAAATATTTTTTAGTGAGACAGGGGGAGCCTTGAAAGGTCAAAAGGAGGATTGGGAGGAATGCTATTAGGTTGGAGTCTGGAGACTTTTTTGCATCAAAAACATTTTACYCCCACCCCTTCCCCCCTTTGACTTAAATAATGACTGCTCCCTAACAACCATGGATGCATCTTCTAACAATAAAGATAGATATACATGAAGACTTTAAAATTAGGCCGGTTCTAGGAGCACCCCTGAAAGCAATGGGAGTAGGGGCCTTTGTTTTGAAACTCAAGTAGACTAACATAGAATAGGGGAGAATTTTCAGTGGATATTAGATACAAATAATACCACCTTCCCTGTCCCTGAACTTAAGAAATAATAAACTTACCAATCTGCCATAAATGCCCTTGATTTTTCCAGATTCTTTCTGCTTCATTAAGGCTTCTAGAACATTTCCCCTGTTGAAACCAAGAGTGTCATTCATGTTGCTACAGCTTCAATGCACATGGCACAGTGCACAGTACAAGCAGAAATGACTACAAGATGGGTGAATGAAGGGAAGTACCTGCTGCGTGATGCTTGAAGTGAGCTTCTAGCTTCTTCTACTTTGGCTCTGACATTTCGTAGCTGTAGAAAACCAATTATAGTCACATCTACATATCTAGCTATTTATCAACACCACCACAACCATCAACATCATCAGCAACATCATCAATATCATCATTATTAGCACCACCATTATTATCACTATCGTCATTACTACCACCACCATCATCTCATCCTCAATATCATCAGCTACATCACTAATACTGTCATCATCATCTCTACTTTAACCAACATCATTATCAAAAATACTATACTATTTTCATCATCATAATCATCAAACACCACTATCACCATCACACTGGTCATCACTTTAAAATGCAAAATCAGCATTAGTCAGTTGATGATGTAATCATCATCATGCTTATCATTATCAGGTTACCATAGCAACTCACCTCTGCAGATGCCTCTTCTTCACCCTTTGTGGCTTTTTCCAGTTCAGTACTGGCTTCTTTGAGTGATGACTTCAAGGCTGGCAGCTCCTTTTCTATTGACTTCATCTCACTAGACAAAGAAAAAAATCATAATAATTGCAATACAATGCAGATGATGATACAATGTACATGCTATCTTATTGGGAACATGTTTATTATGATGCTTTTGTTTTCCTGYAGGCTGGAAGAACACATCTTTGAGCATTAATTTTTCTTCTAGATCTCCAGTTTTCCTCCCTCTACAAGATCATGGAACAAGGGGCAACAGGCTTGTTAGCCACTGGCTATTAAGTGCTACCCCTATGTAAAACAAGGACTGTTTATTTATTTATTCAATTTTAAATCTATTCAAGCACTAGTGAACAAAGAAATAATACTCCATGGAATGATACATAATCTGATATGGAATATTTTCTACCTCTTTCTTTGTTGTGCCTTCTGGAGGGTAGTTTCTAGATTGCCATGTACTTCTCTGAGCTGTGACTTGGCACTATCATGCTGGCTTTTATAAATATCCAACTCACTCTTTGCCACATCCATCTGAGTGAATCAAACAAAAGATGCATTAAAAAAGAATGCATTCCTGATGTTTTTGACACTGTGTGATGATGTCAATTAAGCAAAAAGAGCATAATGAAGTGCTTGAGAGACAGACACCTGGGGAAGAGGCTTTAGGCTTTAGCAAGTTGTAAACAATCCATTCAAGATTTTCAAATGGTGTATGATTGATGCATAGAAATTGACACTTCCATCAAATTCTCACTCAACTATAGTATTTGTTACAACATACTATTATACACACCTTGGACTTGGCTTCATTCACTATTTTATTTTTCTCCATCAGCTGTGTTTCCTTTGCCTTTAAAAAACATAAATGTTGTACATCAATACTACTACTAAGGTCGATACTTAGGGAAATCACATCAAACAAACTTGGCTTATGTGGTATCCACAGGAAGCAAGCCAGCCAGCTAGAAACACAGTAGTAATAGGTAAATATTTTACCACCCTTGCCAATGCCAACATTAGATTGAAACCATAAAAAGAAAATTACCTCTTTTTCACTCTGCAGGCCTTCTGTTTCATTCTTAAGACCTGTAGTTGATGATATTAATCAGTATAATAAGAACTGCCATGTGTAAAGTTAATAGAGCATCATCTTTACACATGCGTTGAAAAAACATTATCAGTCATCATCATCATCTTGTCATTATCATCATCATCATCTTGTCATTATCATCATCATCATCTTGTCATCATCATCATCTTGTCATCATCATCATCAGTGCTCAGCAACATCAAAATCATCATGGTTTACGTCATTATCATCCTGCTTCTCATGAACTGCACACTGTCTAGGTGCAACCTTGTATTAAGTAAGTATTTAATAGAACCTGACATAACTCACCTGCCATAACTTCTGCAAGTTTCTCCTCTTCTTTCACCTTCTGCGCCTGTGAATAAAGCAACATAAACCCATGTTTGATACTTCTACACGTAAGTTGTAAGCTATACAAGAAATGCAATTGACAATGCAACTGACAAGGATGGAAAGTCCAGACACTGCTATCTTGTCTCTCTCACCTCCAGCTGTTCTTTCTTGGATTCTAGTTGCTCCACTTGCTTTTGGTTCTGTCCTGGTTCCTTTGTCAAGTTTGCCAGCTAAGAGAAGAATAGTTCTAAAACGTATCAGAATCCCATAATGTTGCACATTGCAAGTTCTAAATTGCAGTACAAAACCTAACCTTTTCTTTTTCCTTTTCAAAGCTTTTCTGTAGTTTCTTGACATTTTGCTTGGCATGTTTATAATCCTGAACAAAGACAAAAAGAATTATGCAATGTTTTGAATCTTTATGTGTGTTAATTGTGGTCTCTGGCTCCTTACATGGAACTGCTCTTCAATATTTTTATTATTTTTCAGGTTTTTCATTTTTCTTTTTATTATTATTATTATTTTAATGATATTGACATTTATTCTTATTATTAGCTTTCCTTTCTTCATGTTGACATTATTCCTGCTCATTCCGTCGCTTGTAACTTGCGAGTGTGGGTGATGTCAGGTTCTCAGCATGTGATAGTTCAATATTTTACACATATATTGTAAGAGCATTGAGATGTCATGTAATGCGTGTTTAAGAATAAAATTATTATTATTACTATTGTTATTATTATTATTATTAAGAGAACTTTCCTGAATTTGCTTAAATGTATGAGCACTCGTCAAGTCCAACTTAGACTTGGAACCATCGCCTGGTGGCCACTTGATGCAATCAACAAAGGTCTATTAAATTCTCACCTCTCGTAGCTTTAGATCATCCCTTTCATACGCAGCAAAGTTCTTTTTCGTCTCTTCTGCTACAACAGAAAGCTCTTCGTATTGCCTAAGCAAAAACACAAATTAAATTTTTACATATCAGTTTGGTACAATTAATATAACGTGGCATATAAATTTATTTTCTTACTTTGCTAGTTTCTTGTGCTCCTTTCCTTTTGACTTCTTGCGGTCTGAAATAAAAACGTTAGAGTATTTTTTTTAAATTAATCTTTTGAAATTCTGTTAAAAACCAGGCCCCTCATGACTTAGGTAAGGGGGGTGGGGGGTTCCTATTTGCCATTCTCTTCCAATCATCCCTTCCTTTTGATGGTTACAGTATGTTTTAAAGAGGGAAAGAGAGAGAAGGGGGCGGGGTATTTGCACCTCAAACCACCATGTTTGGTCAACACACGGCCAACAGTCAGCCTACTGTCGACCAACAGTTGGGTGATAGTTGACCGACATGTGTTTGCTGGTGACAGGCATAAAAACACAGAATATGAACAAGAGGATTGCTCTCTTTAATAAAGTCAATCCACAGAGTGCCAGAATTTAATAACCAGTGCATTACCTGTGCAATCAACTATCTGTTTGTGAAGCTCATCAAATCCAGATTTCACTTCATCTTTCTTTTGCGCTGCTTTTTCTTCATTCTGTAAGCATTCATGACTGCAAAAAAAATTTCCATCAATCCATCTATTATATCATTGAAGTAATTAGTGATGTGAACGATAAGACATTTTGCAACAGCATGCCCTGGTTTTCTGCAATAGTCAATGTCTTCTCTTCCTTTAGGGTTCTTGTTACTTTAACAAAGGCTCAACAGAAAGTAGAATCTACTAATAATTTAAAAGAGTATTAAACTCCTAGGTTACTATGACAACCTACATGTATTTTTGGAACAGAGTGTTTCTTTTCGTTGTAATACTGTTCTCCATATTGATGTATTCTACTGCTTCATCTTTTGACCCTTCAAGCTCATCCTTTTCTTTTTCCACTGCCTTGACTCTATTCAACTAAATAAGGAGAGAAAAGAATAATAGATATCAGAATGATGGGTAATCGTGTATTTCATTAGCAGCCGACACATATTGGTTGACTATCACCCAACTTTTGGTCTATAGTTGGCCAATAAATGGTCAACACAACTGATAGTTGACCAGCGTTTGTCAACACAAGGCCAACAGTTGGCCTACTGTCGACCAACAGTTGGGTGATAGTTGACTGACGCCTGTTGCCTGGTCATAAAGTACATGATTACCAGAATAATGATACTATGAACATTCTTGGAAGGTACAGTAGGGTAGCTTGGGGAGAATCAGTAGGGTTAAAAGCACAGTTTTTCCCCATATTAATTGTATTATATTAATTACATTAAATAATGATTAATTATTGGTTCAAAGTTTACCTTCTCCCCTCTGCACTCATTCAAGACCTCCACTTCTTTAGCAAGCTGTTCTATTGGCTCTTTATATATGCTAGAACCGACAATGTCCTCTAGATATTCAAGCATACCATCTTCATGCTCGGTTAGGGCCTTTGGTTTCATCATAGAGATCTGCTCTACTTCACCCTATAATGTATTCATATATAAGATGCAGTATATTCATTCAAAACGTATAATCTTTAAATTCTGATATAGATTGAGGAGCATTCTTATCTAACTTCAGTAAATGGTTATTGTTTATCTTAATTATGTTGTTTGTGCTAACTAGAGTACAACAGACGGTCCTTTTCTGCTTGGCTATAAAATTTTCTCATTTCAGACCACATATTATTCTTGCCAACATAAAGTGTCTTCTCAAAATGTTACCAGAAAATGCCAAAAAAAGTCTTAAGGAAGACACATGGTCTGGAATGAGAAAATATACTCTCATCCATTCCCTAATATAACTTGCTTTCCTAGACTTGAGTTAAAATTAAATGAAACGTTTCTATTATCTACTCAATACAGTGGAATTGCACATACCTGGAGAATAAGGAACCTATTGTGGTCAAGGTCAACGCCACTTTCTCTTAACAGTGCAGCTACTTCTTTAAAGGGTGTCTTGCGACCATTCACATAGTAATCTGAGGAGTTATCCTTACGAGCAGTTCGTGCTACGACAAATGCACTATCTGGTACTACCTCAAAATCATCTCCTGGCTGCATAGACAAAAAAGAAAAATGCAGGAAAAAATGGGTTTAGGAAATTAAATTTGTAACATCATATCAGAGAGCACCTACCATTTTGTGAGCAACAGTAATTTTCTGCTCCAAAAATTGCTTATCTATATTTTTTCTCTAATTTTGAATAAGGAACCAGCATTCGATGGTAAATTCCCAAAGTTTACACTACCTTCATCCTTTGTGAAATGTCTTATTTGTCTGTTCCTCTACCCTTCCCATCCCCCCCCATTCCAACTCCGCAAACACACATTGAATTTCACCATGGCGTTTACTAATAAATTTATTACTGGGAAAAACACATTCCTTGGGCCTTAAAAAACTTTAATGAAAACATCCCTGAGCATACATTCTTTTAGAATTTTACACTTACCAAGTCAATGATCTTTTGGAAGTGTACTGATACTGTACAAGAAGCAACATTTGGATGAGCGGACGAGTTGTGGATAAGTTGAGAAACTTTCTTCGTTCGAATCATTTTAGACCGATAACCAAACACAAATAGCATGGCATCTATGACATTGGACTTTCCACTACCATTCGGTCCAACAATCGAGGAAAAACTCTGTCGAAGGATAAGTAAGATAGGTTGAATTTTAAAAACAATTTGGGGTTGTTTTGAACGTTGGACAATTAGTCAACTTTACCTTATGAAACGGTCCAAGTTCTTGTTTTCCAGCGTACGACTTGAAATTCTCGTTAACAATTTTCGCTATCATTAGCCTAGAATCTCTGCTAGTTTTTCCAGCCCTAGGTTCTTCTTCCATGCTTTTTTCTTGGCTGTTTTGTGCCTCCATTGGTTCGACTTCCATGTCCGCCATCTTACCCGTTTGGTTTTGGCGCCAGAATGTGAATCATTAGACAAATTAGTATCTTGGGAGGGGAGGGTAGAGGCTATGAATTTGTGACTTAAAATTTATCTAAAACGTTATCAAATAAATACTTTCAAATAAATTACAGTACAACAATTAGGTTGATTTCTTCCCTCTTATGTAAAAGATAATTAAAAAAAATAACAACTGTATTTTTGAATAGTAGATTTTAAAGAGATTACTTACCCCCTCCCCCAAGTTTAAGACGATGCGCACTTTCTCCCAGTCAGCTTTGCGCGCTTAGGAATTCAATCAAAATGGCGGACGACATGAAGTAAAAAGTTTAAAGTTTGTACAAAACGTTTTCGCATTGAAAGGGAGTTTTTAAAATACAAAGCGGAAGCTTCTTATATATCACATCTAGAGGATTTGTTCGCTGTTGGAAGCAAAATACTCTGAAGACTTCTGCTGAAGAAAGAAAGATAGTCAAAATGGGAGTATGGCAGAACTACAAAAATTTAGGCAAAAGAACAAGGGTCGTGCTTGGGTTGGCTGGAATTGTCATTGGGCTGTCAGGACCAAAAATAATGTCATGGATTGTGGAAGGTGCTGGTAATACAGATAAGATAGAAACAGACAAAGGAAAAGTAACAAGTGATGACAAGAGCTATAATACTGAAAGAGACTGAAAGAATGAATGGAAAACCAACCAGAGAAATTGATAAAGAAAGTTGGGGATACTTTAAGATGACTTATATATATAAATGCTGGACAGAAGAATAGGATGTTTCCATTTGCATATAACTACAGAATACCCCACAAATCATATGCATATTTGGCTCATTCTACAAAGAGTTCCGACAACTGTATATCACTATTTTGCAGGTTAATCTGTAGTTGCCCTGCCCTTTGTTTGCATGCATTTTACTCTATGATGGCTATCTCACTGCAGTAATATATTTTTCTACCCTAGCCCAAAAACCATTCTTTTTGATACTTTACCAGGATTCCTTTCATACTATGACCTTGGGTTATGGAGGAAAGATGCAATAGAGGTTTTGCACAATCACATGACAGAATCCATGTTAGATGGTAGGAACAATACAATYGTTTTAMATGAGAAAGAATTCAATTCCCAAGAGCAAAGGGATTTTATTGCTCTGCCATCTACCACAGGCAGCCCAAGCTGTCTGGGCATTGTCCATTCATAATGTCTGCTTTTTCATTGTTTTAATACCATTTGACTATTTTCATTACTGTTTGCTGATGGAGACAAAGCTCACAACAGGTTAATCAGCACGAGACTACCACTATTAAAATAAACTGTTAGAGTACATCATTAAAAGTACATTTCCATAGTCCTCATGTAACTAATGTAGTGATTGCCAACTCCAGTTTCAAGTTAACTGTTGCTCAGGGCTAGCCTTGATTTTGTGTAAAATATTCATTTCTTCCATTGAAGGTCTGTGAAATTCAGAGTTTTTGTTGTTGAAACTGTGCATTCACCCAAGGGGGGTACTCTTGCCCGTTTAGGTTGGGAATGTGCCGCTGAGCCCTCCGAACCCTGACCCTGTTCCAGAGTAAAAATCGCCGAGATTCCTACCCCGTTCCAGAGCAAGATCACTGAAAACCCTGTTCCAGAGAGGAGATCATGATTTTATATACCCTGTCCCAGAGCAAGCGGGATTTCATATACCCTGTTCCAGAGTAGAATCGCTGAAAACCATACCCTGTTTGGTGGCACATACCAGTATAGCGAATATAGGGGAGTACCCCCCCCCCCCCCTCTGGTGCATTCATTACTTTACCATTGGTATTTATGAATATTTAGACACTGGTATGAGGCTATTAAACCTGAGTAAATAAGTTTGTAATCAAGGAGCACAGGGTATTTTGGAACTTGGGAAAAGGTGTCTTAACCTGTAATAACTTGTATCTCAATCAACACGTAGCAATGAAAATAGTGGTATTGCATTGAAATAACAACTTTGAAACTAAGAATAATTGTTGTTCTTTCACTTTACTTTTGATTTCAACAGTTACAATCTCTATTCAGAATACTATTCACAAATGCAAGGAGTGTATTAATTATTGGATTAGGGTACATTTTCTTGACATGATTTTAAAAGAAGGAAAAAAGCAAAATTTTGATGAAAAGCATCAAGCAATCTAGTTTTTAGGTCAATGATGGAATGGAAAGTGAATTAAAATAATATATTTAGACAAATAATCATTAATTTTATTTGTTTCTAATCATGCAGCTGATGCTGTGGTAATTAAATTCATTTCAGTTTTAACATTTTTAGATACTAAGATAATCAATAAAATATTAAATTTTACCAAATTATCCATTAAAATTAACAACAAATTTGAAATTTAATATATTTGAAACATCCTATCTCATTCTACTAATTTATACATCAAATTAAAATATCCAAAACTGGTAGCTTTTGTCGGGGCCATGGTGCTTGTAGGTTGTGAGGGCTTTAGCTTTCAAACAGTCTAGAATCCAAATATGTAAATGACAGTCTTAGCCCCTAGATCGGATTTAGCACAGTAAGACCCTGGTCCATTGTCCCTACAAGGGGAAAATTGGTAACAAATGAAATGCACTGAACTACAAATAATGGCCCAGCCAGCGTTGATAGAAGAAATGCAGATCATTCAGCTGTCACTTTTTCCAATGATAGTGCAGTTTTCGTATAACCATGAAAAGTYCACAGCACAAACATGGTCRTGACACAGCAAGGAATACACCAGACAAATCACATTGCACGAGAATTTACTCTCCATCCAATCAAATACCCAGAACATGGCATAAACACGGCGCGGACACAGTCACRCCAAGATCACAGCACTTTTAGACCAATCATGCATGTTGCGCATGAAAAAATCAGCCAATGAAAATTTTAGAAAGTATCACGGTCACGGCACACCACGCTTAAGGCACTGAGCTTTTCACAGTCATACGAAAACTGCTCTAATATGGTTGTGTAAGAAAATGGTTTCCCATGAGTGGAAAACTTATCATTACCTGGTTGGTATTAAATAATGTAACAAGGGTATGAAGATAATATTACTAGTAAAAAGATTACTCTTCCCCACTTTACAAAGGATAAATAGATCAATGCAAACATGGCTTGATTTGTGTAGATTTGTCTTATTATATTAATTAAAAAAGGTAATGTAATCTATGCGTAAAATCAAAAGGTAAGTAGTATAGGCTGAGAAGATCTATAAATTACATTATATACTGCTTGATCACTGTAAGATATTTTTCCTGAAGCAATTGTATACATTTTTTTCACAGACAGAAATGTACATTTTTGGCTTATACCTACACTCCAAACGATCTAATGGAATCTTCTATAGAGCAAGACAGATGACAGACAGGTTCCAAAGTTTGCTCAGAAGGTCCAAAATTTATTTGCATCTTGTTCTGGAAACTTCTGACTTAGTTCTAGAGCAAATTTGGAAATACAATGAACAGTTCCTTGTGGCTAATGAGAAATATTGTGAAATGCACTGTCATGCTCGGAGAGTAGCTTTGTGTTTAATCCAATGCTATGTACACAGACATCGATCATATACACTCCGAATGATGCAATATTTTTCCCTGCAGAACTCGATGTTATATACATTACATGTCATATGGACATATCTAGAATGCTGCTGTGAAGCTGTCCTACACATTTCAGGAACCCCATCCAAGCTAAACTAGTTCATACTCCTTGGCATTCTGTAGTGTACTTGCCAGACAACAGGCAAATGTTAACCCAATCAGCTATAAGAAAACAAGACAGGAAAAATTATATGATTAATTCCCTAGCTTCCTTTTTAATTCACTACATGACTATTAGGCCAAACAAAAAAATAAGTGTGTTTCCTGTTGTGTAACCGACCCTAATTTTCTTGCTGATTTTTGCCAACCCTAATATTTTTTTCATTCCCAAACGCACCACAGTAAGCTGTTGTATCAGTAAATAAACCCGACCTACTGACCCGATTATTTTTCTCATGCAACAGGAAACACACTTATTTTTTTTGTTTGGCTTTAGATTTAGAATTATAAATGCCATGGTGTAGGTATCAAGATATACAAGAAGTCCCTTTTAGAAGGAAAAGTGTACACGAAAAATCATATGCCACCATATAATATGGCTTCAGAAACAACCTTTATGGTTCTCCACCAAAAAACTTGTATTTCAAAGGGTTATCCTTCCATCCCACGACATTCAAAACAAGGATTCCTCCCACCTCAACAAAAACATTGGATATAAATACATCCTTTAGGGAAAAAGGACATGGCATGAAAGTGATTGTATTTATACCTGGAATACAGCAATTGAAATAGCAACACTCCCAATGATGAGAACTTTGTCCTCAAAGTATGCAACAGCTGCGTCGTAACATGGCTATAAGAAAATGTAACAAATTTATTAGCTAAAAATGCAGGGAACAATGTAACATGGTGTGAAATGGGAAAACATTATCCCCAAATGGATTTGGCAAATACATCCAAAAATTGACTCTAATTTATTTAAATCTTTATCCTTCTCTCTGTGTGTGTGGTGGCTGTGGTG